TACTTCGCGGAATTTCATTTATCTCGGTAGGGTCTAGAACCGATTAACCGCGATAAACGAGGGTTCACTGTATGTCTGTTTTCTATTATTATTTGAAGAGAATATTTTTGGTAGATTGGTTTACTAAATAAATAATTATTGTAACTATAAACCCAATCCTTAAAAAATGTTTTTATCTTGCCAAATTTTAATCTTGTTTTTTAGAACAAATTCTGTACAACATAAAACAAGAGTATAAACGTATGCAGAAGAGAAGACATTTAGAAACTAGTTTCCAACAAACAGATCCGTGTTGTACATCTGATGCACAGCCACATGCCTTTCTCCTCAGTGGACCAGCTTCTCCGGGTAAGTCATACATGTAAGAGGAGAAAGGAAATATAATCTATTATGGGGAACACAGACCCCAAATATTACCCCTTGTGTGTGTTTGTGTGTATGTGTGTGTTTGGTGGGGGTTGGGGGGGAGGGTTGCATTTGTCCTGCAGTGGGTTAAGTGTCGGGGGCTGCCAACTACACAGTCATTTCAGACCCAACAGCCAGTCCAACAGAGAACAGGCTGTCTACTGCTGTAAAGATGAATGGTCTTGGAAACCCTGTGGAGCAGTTCTAATCTGCCTTATAGGGTCACCATGAGCCAGAATTATATATATACATATATATAATATATATATAATGCATAGCTTTGTATAATCTTTCCAAATTAGACTTTCTATAAATGGTATGATTTGTAGCCTCTAGTGTTTTAAGTCACTATACCATGGACTTCTTTTCAAACCCAGAGCCAGAAAGGCCATATGTAAGACAAACTCATTGTGCTATAATTATAATCCCTGTACATATACATACCTGTGTACACTTGTCTGGTTATTGTAAATTCCTAAAAAAATTTTGATCCTATTCCTCTTGTTGGTGGGGGTGGTTTGCAAACATCTTTCAGGCAGAACATTGAGGAGTGTTACCGGGAAGTTTGAAGATTAACTTGTGTTGACACAGGACCATCAAAAGCCAGTCAGTTGCTCAGCATAAATTGTTTTTCTCTCCTGTGTCTGCTGTTGGATCTGCATTTCCATTAGGAAAACCTATAATCAGTTTACATCACGGAAGATCAATTAACTGGCAGTCTTAACTAAAGGAGCTTGGAATTTGAAAGTGAGAGCTTTAACTATGGACTAAAGTGGGTGTATTGTATTGAGATAGACAAGAATAAAGTTCTAACAAGGATAGTTAAGTGGCCCTAATCACAGCCAGTGTGATGAAAGGAATGGAGAGTGCCAGAGACAGCGCAGGGGGAAATCACTGATAGTGAATGGTGTGTATTAAAAAAACTGCCCCAGTGTTTTAATGTTGACTGTCATCATCGTGAGTTCTAAAAAGATTATTTATTTTCAGATGTTCTTGTTAGGAAGAAGTAAGGAATGATGCTTTTGGAAAAAATCAGTGTCGTCCTAAAATCACTGTGCCATTGAGTTGGTACTGACTCATAACAACCCTGTAGGACAGGGTCACTGTTGGGTTTCACAGACAAAGCCCCGTTTTCAAATGGAGACCTTGCAGTTAGTGACCCAAAGTGTAATCACTGTCACTACACCACCAGGGCTCCTTCAGTGTCTAAGAAGTACTTAAGAGGGGAATGCATTTCAGAAGAATTCTCTTATAAGGGGATATCCTATCTGGTAGGCTAAGTGGCTACTAGATTAATGATCTTTAAGAACTCTTAATTGTAAAATTTGCTTAATACTGTGTATATGTTTGTCAGAATTTTTTTCATAAAGTGCTCATAGTTAATGTAAAAACACAATCGTCATTAGGATTAAGAGATACCAGATTCAGATAAGATGTAAAGATGAACAGTGTTTTTCCTTAACAGATCATAGAAATGTGCTGTCTTAAAATTTAATAATTTTATTACCATAAAACATTGTTTCAGCAACAAGAAATTAATCAGTATAAAAATACTTGTCCAGCAGCATTTCTTTGCTTAATTAACCAAGGACGTTTACAGACACTATAGGGGTTTAGTTGCTTTAGGACTCTTAATGTGCTTACAATATAAATCTATGTAACATAATTTTGAACAGCTGGAGCTTACTTATACAATAATAGAAATCCTTTTATTTACTGGGAATTGGTGGGGCCATGATGCTAAAAAAAAACACCCCAAAACCCCAAAACAAATACACTCCCTTCAGCAAGAGATGAGTGTCTAGATTACAGAATGTTTTTGAGTAAGTATCTCTCCAATGGGGTAATGCAGTACATATTCTTCAAAAACTTTTCTTAAACATGCAATGTTTTCACCTTTAAAAAAAAGTAATATTAAAAAAATCCCTTTAAGGGTTGGGGGTAGGGAGTGTTGCAGTGAGAGATGATGGTAGAACAATCCCTAATTTGTTGTGGCCTGTTAGGATATCCTGGCTTCTCAGTTATACACATTTATTATTAACCTGGGCCAAGTAAAATTAACCTTTTAGCTAAGGATGCTTTTTTCCTACTGTAAGAGTTGATGGGTCACTAAAACATTATGGTATGGTATTTATCAGAAACGAGATGGGGATTTTGTAATAGGGCCCATCATTGTATTGTTTGCTATAAGTTTTGAATCAGAAATTGTAACTTTCTGCTCACCTTTAGACTTAATTTTAACTACTTTGGTATGGTTTTCTAGTCACACACTTTTGATAGAATGATTAAACATGTTTAAGACTGGGAATTGCTGTGGTGAAAATTTATAGAAATCCTTTTATATGAACGTGAAAGGAAAACATGAAATCTCCAGTAAGAGCAGCGGTTTTCAATCTGTGGGTTATGACTCCTTTGGGCGTCAAACGACCCTTTCACGGGGGTCACCGATTCATAACAGTAGCAAAATTGCAGTTATGAAGTAGCAATGAAAATAATTGTATGGTTGGGAGGGGATCACCACATGAGGAACTGTATGAAAGGGTCCCGGCATGAGGAAGGTTGAGAACCATTGTGTTAGAGGGTCCCTTCTATGATGACTACTAAATCAGGGGCTGTTTGTTTTCACACAGGGACTTCATCTGCAACATCTTCGCCATTAAAAAAAGAACAGCCTTTATTCACTCTACGGCAGGTTGGGATGATCTGTGAACGTTTGTTGAAAGAACGTGAAGAGAAAGTTCGAGAAGAGTATGAAGAAATATTGAATACAAAACTTGCAGGTATGAGTTTTCGTTTCCCAGAAACCCAGTCTTCCCTCATGTACTTAGTGTTGGTTGCTCTTGCTGTACATGCTGATAATGTATTTCTTTAGACATTTGAAGTATCTAACTGGTGTTACACATACATCATTTTTTCCCCTAGAGTATCAAACCTTTAGTTTTATAATCTGATGTTTGGGATTAATACATTTTACAGGGTAATTTCAAGTGCACTAAATAAAATTTATGTATAGTAACCAAATCAGATTGTTTACATTATAAACCACAGATTTTACTGGATATAGAAATTATTGTATATCTTAAGTGCTCATTGTCCTGTTTCCTCTCATTATGGTAAATTGCCACCTAAGCAGCAAGATTGCTTTTTATTTTAAGCCGGTTGGTTAAGAGGTTAGGAAGTGAGTACCACCCATAGTATATGTGGTTTGGGCTAAAACTTAATTCTGTGCTGTTTGCATTTGGCACTGTTTTAGTATTACTGAGACTATGCAAGTGTCAGATTAAAGTGTCAATTTAGAATTATTTCACTATGTATTTTGGATTTGCAGAGTAGGATCAGAGGTGGGTGGGTTAAGGACCTCAGAAAATTGTAGGAAAATTCCCTTATCGTTTAATTTTATTTTCCCACAAACTTTATGACCCACCTTCTCTGATAAATTTGAGGAAGGCATTTTAATAAATCATACCAATGATATATGCTTTTGTTTATAGAACAGTATGATGCATTTGTGAAGTTCACGCATGATCAGATAATGCGACGATATGGAGAACAGCCTGCTAGTTGTAAGTATTTAATACTGAAGGTATAAACTAAAAGCATGACAACCATTTAAAGAAGAGACCTATCATTTTCATGCCTAGAAAAACATTCTAACAAAATCTTTGAGAAAAATCACATAGGAGGAATAGGCAGCAGACGTCACAAGCTTGGTTATTTGCGTAGGTAGAGCTGTATGGAAAGAGGATTTGCTGTTTGAATTTTGACCTGGTCCTTGTACTAATTGTCTTTTTTTCTCCCCTCACAGATGTTTCATGAATCACGTTTTCTGCTATTGTGGGCTGCCTGGGTCCTTGTTGAGTTGTTGCAAAAGGTCCCAGTGATGACATGCAGCGATGCCAATACCCCCTGTGAATACAGGTTATTTCAAGCTTTCGTCAGTGGCAACCACTCCTAGGCAGCAATTGGTTTTGGAAATTTCGTTGATGTTAGTACCACATGGATGTGGACTTTCGCTACCTGTATTAATACCAGTGGCCTCATTTGCTGTATCATTACAATTTGGCTCCTTATATTAACGATATGTTTGAAAGGATTAAAGCTGGTATTCTAGAACATGCCTTTCACTGGTTGTGTAAATAAAACTGTAGAATGATACTTCAGACTGAAGTTAGTGTGATTTTTTTTTTTATTATTATGCACTACAAACAAGCTGTAACCCAATTAATAATTTAGAATGTAACAGGACAGTGTTAAGCAAATAGCCTACAGTGCTTTCTGTGAAATAGTGGAAGAGGAGGGTATTTCTATATTCCAGGACTTCTTGGGTTTTCAGAAAGGGTTTATATGATTTTGGGGTGGGTGGGTGCCAATTTTTATTTATTCTATCAGTCTTAACAGATGTTTATTGCTGCCTTCCTACACCTCAGTGTACCCTTGTTTTACTGCCCTTGTAGTACTGGAATTATAGTTGAACGAATAAAAGTTTACTTCTAATGTGCTTGTTTTTTAATACACAGATAGATGGGTGGGTACCATGTGAATAAAAGTGTTTTAACTACGTATAGCAATTGGATGAAGTTGATTTTCTGATTAAGTTTAGAAATCAAATTTTAATATGCCAAACCATCCAAGAATTGACAGCAGCTATTGTTGATTTGACAATATCTTAACAATCTGTTTTTGGAATATATTGCATCAATAATTTTTATGTGCTACATACTGGGGTAGTTAGTCCTTAATGCTTAAGAGCCCATTCTGTTATCACGGACATGACGCTTACCTTTATGTTAGTGAACAGTCTTAAAAGTATAATCTCAGAAATCTCTTCATAGTAACCAGTAATACTGAGCATTAGGGTTTTTTTGTAAACAATGGGGCTTCAAAATTTCTGGGAAAATTCCAGTATTTTTCAGTTCCATTTTTCTATGAACTTTGTAAAGCCCCCTCATAAATCTTGATGAGTTTTGGATATAGAAGCAATCCAGGTATCATTTAACCTTACTTAGGATTGTGATTTCTAAAGGCCCACCGAGTGATCCTGCAGAAGAACATTAAATTGTAAGGGCGAAGGGAAGCAGAAGTTGTAAGAACAGTGTTAGTCCCCAGGAGAAACTGACTGATGATATTCTCACAGTTACATACTGTACAACTTTGTACAGTGAGGAATGCTAATGCAAGAAAAGACGGTGGAAGAGAAGTAATGAGAACTACTAAACCATTTGCAATAATTTATACTCCCGGGAAAAGAAATTTTATTACATTTATACAATACTTATGCTTAAGAACAATTCACTTATAATTTAGTACTTTTGGAAAGTTACAGTAATAACTTTGAGGGCTTTTAGTCACAATATCAGTGTGTTATTGATGGATTCCCAAGTATTCCAAGGATGTTAGGATATACACCTGCTTGGGTTTAACACATGTCTATTTTCTGGTTCAGCACCACTGGGGATTACACAGTGCTCTTCTTACAGAAATAGATTCCTGCTAGCATGTGTAAGCATGACAAGTCACTTTCCCTTTTCTCTTCTGGCTTTGCTCATTTGCCTCTTAGCAGCCTCCTCCCCATGTTAGCCTTGCCACGTGGTCAGTCTTCTGTTTAGTGGGTTTGATAAATCCTAAAAGTTCTAGTTCAGAAACGGCTCTAATAAACCGAGCACTGGAGGTAGTAGCTAAGGAAATTTACCAAGTCTTTTTGACAAAGAGGCTGAACTTTCCATGCTAAAATATTACTTGGTATACTGAAGGTAGTTCAGATAAATGCTCTTGAATTGAACTTACTCCAAAGCCCTAAAGAAACCCAACCTACTGTTTTCAAGCTGATTGTGATTCATAGTGACTACAGTACAGGTTCCTTAGGGTTTTCCGAGATTTTTGTGGGAGCACACAGCTGCATCTTGAGCTTTCAATTAGCAGCCCAATGCTTAAACCACTGCACGATTAGATCTCCAATGTGATCAATCTAGCATCAATAGAACATAAATGAAAAGATGTTTAAAACTCAACCGAATCTAACCACCCCCACACACAATACATGAAAAATGACCCTCTTACTCTAAAAGTACACTGTCTTAGAAAACTAGAAAATTTAATACTGTCAATTTCATTTTGGGTGAAATACGTAAAAAACCTTTATTTTGAAATGAGCCCTTGTGCTGCAGCAGGGGGTTAAACACTGGTTGGCAGCTCAAACTCACTAATGTTCTGAGAAAGACAGGCCAGCTGCTTTTTAAGTACTCTGGAAAGGTATGGTTAATACGAACTAGTAATAAATCTGTAAACATGTCTATAAATCTAATAAAGATCCAGAGACACTATAAGTAAATGGACAATGTACAACTAGTTTTAAAAGGATACTGGATAATTTCATCCATTTCTTCTGAGGCTGTAGAACTGGCATTCATTTCAGCAGCTGTCACAACTGTTGCAAAGGCCTTTAAAAAAGATGAAACGAAATAAAAATCTACAAGTGCCCAACTTGTCCTCTGCTTCCTTTGCTGGTTCTATAACCTGGTCAGGTCAGGTACTACTGGGCTGCTGGCTAACACTTTACTTTCCCCCATCAAACCAAACCTCAGATTTCCAGAACGAATTGATAATCATGTTAAACCAATTATCCATTAAAAGATAATGTCATGATTGGAACAGTGTCATTTTTCAAAGATCTAAGATCTGTGGAGAGAAAAGAAACCTAGCCCAAGTCAAAAGTCAAAGGAAGCCCTGCATCTATTCATGTATTTCCCTTGTCTCTGGAAAATGCTACCTGCTCCCTTTTTAAAAAAAGCAGCAGCCAATCGTGTATATTTTTTTAAAAAGGGCTTTTAACAGAGTCCAATCCTTGTAACACTCTTTTGAGAAGGGACAGAAGAGTTACTTTAAAGAATGTGTAGCGGCTTGCCAAGTATTCCTTGTACTTATTACTTTATATGTATATATTTACATGCCTTATGCAACAAGGGAAGTGCTCACTCAACTCACTGTCACTGAGTGGATGCCAGCTCGTAATAACCTTATACAGCAGGGCAGAACTGCCCCTGTGAGTTTCCTAGACCATAACTTTATATTTCTCCCTTGCAGAGGCTGGTGGTATTGAACTGCTTATCTGGCAGTTAGCCATCCAACATGTAACCACTACGCCACCCAGGCTCTGAAAGGAAGTGCTAGTTAATAATATTCATACATCTTTATTCTGTGGAATAACATAACCTAAATGTCGTAGCTTTTGCTGGATGTTAACTACTAGGTTAGGTCATGTACTCATTTTGTCCTGGCACGAACTCAGAATTGACTTGAAGGGTGGCGAGTCGAGGGGCAGAGGTGGGAGCGGCCCTTGCGCAGCTAGTGCGGTCTCCTGAGGGAGCACACAGGACAAGACAGTACTGAAAAAACAGGTGAGTTCAAAATCCAAAGAGAATAAGCACATTCCAGGACCGTTTTCATGGATGGCTTGGCATTTTCCCTAACCTACCTCTGACCAGTCCACAAGGTTGATCAGCTTGCTACACTCAAGGTGCAGCTTATATGCGATGCAGATGTCTGGTGCGATATTTGGAATGCAGCCTTCTTCACTCTTGAGAGCTTCATTCTGAAAATAACAGTAAGATCACTACTTTTTAGAAACGATTAAGAACAAAGTCAGATACTAATGAACACTAAATTTAGTAATTCATTATATGTAATGAATTTGGTTTCTAAATGCCCTGTGGTAACTGAACTGCAGTTACTCCTCACCACTTAGTTCTTATTTAGGATCAGGTCCTAATCCCTCTAGCTCCTAGTCACTAGAGAGTATGTCTCCAATCAGACACAGTTTTCATTTTAATCACGAACTGCTCATTTCTGGGGCCCAATATATTCGATTATATTGAAAAGAGTGTGGAATTCTTTGTGACTTTTCAATAATTTGAATTCTAGCAACTGCTAATTTAGCAAATACCAGCATAACACCACAAAGGTCTGTCAGACAAAATATGGTTCCGTCAACACTGCAAATCCTAAATTCAACAAAATCCATCAGTATCTACAAATCCCTGGTTTTTACTGAGGAACAACTTATTACCTTGAGATTCTAATATATCCTCCACACCTACCTAGAGAAGTATATTAGGTGAACCACTGTTACCCAAGAAGCGTTCTTAATCAAGTTCCCCACCGTCACATCTTTGAAAACTATGTGTGCCCTTCTCCAATAGGAAGCCAGTTCACTCCTCTCCTCACTGCTTTGATGCAATCGCTTCTTAAGTATCCTTTGTGGCAAGATCTAGATGCCTATGCTTCCCAAATTATTTCACGTTTGCCAATAACAGCTTCCAGAATTGCTTAATATAATCATTTTTTCTTGTATGAGAAAGCTACTGTTTAAGATTCAGAATTGTCATGAGCAGGAATAATCTGTCTAAAGAAGAATTTGTGGGGATTGGCGAACGTAGATGGAGTTGACACAGTGGCCCAGCTGCAGCACACCATACCAGAGTGAGCCTGGCGCATCGCTGGCCATCTGCATTCAGCTCCAGAGATATGCTCGGAGCAGATCTCTCTTTGGTTTTTGGTACAAGATGAAATCCCATAATACTTCTGTCAGAAACAACCAGCGGACCTTGGTGCTTGGCCCATTATCTGCCGTTGTGCCTATTTCCTCAGAGTCCCAGCATTATACTCTTGAGTCTTAGTATCTATGACCTGGTTTTGTCACATGAAGGCTGTATGGTTTCTATTCTATATGGTCAAAATGGGTCTAAAATAGGAATATATATGGAAGAAGCTGCCAAGTCTGCTCATTAATTAGAAGTGCAAATGTACAGCATTAAAAAATTCTATGGGCATATCAGACAATTTTCATCGATCATATTAACAAGACTTGTGCAATCATCACCACAATCAATTTCAGAACATTTTCTTCTTGTACTCATTGTTAGCTTCCCATTTCCCCCAAACTTCCCCTGAAACTCCCCTACGTACTTATTAATCCAGTTACTATCTTTATAGATTTACCTATTCTGAATTTCTGAAACAGAAAATCATACAGACTACAAAGAATCCAAGAAATATGACAAAACAAAACTGAGAAACCTCAAAAGAAAGCAGAAAATACTAAAGTTACTAAAACAACTGTAGTCTGATCTGAACTATCAGAAATGAACTGGTTTCTTACCTTGAGATAATAGTAAGGGTTGTTGAGGGCAGTGTGGAGGGCGATTCTCGGAGCAGCATTTAAGTGCTCTCGTAGGGTATGGGCAGCACTGAAATACACCACCTCATGCAGTGGCTGTGTCTCTGGAGGCAGAAGGAATTCTCTGGAACAGCCAAAGTCAGATTACCAGCATTGAGACACAGGTTAATTTTCAATATAACGTTTTCGTCAATCCTCTGTAGAAGATTGAACAATTTATTTAAAAAGCAAAATCAATCACCACCAAAACCAACCCAAACGCATACATTAAGTCCAGTGCAACTTAGCCCACAATTACTACACACTACATTTTGGTTCAAACTCTTTAAGATAGAATTAAAGCACTAATGAGTATTGTCTGACAGGATTAATGAGTTGCTTAAACTATTTAGAAACTTGCAATGTCCACACTTGATTGTCATAGCAAGTGGCATCAGGCCATGACATAAAAGTTTAGGAAACAATTTTGCATCATAAAGCATGTTTGAATTGATCTCTCTCATGGAAATAATACCTCTAAAGCTCTTTTTATCCTTAGATTTTTTTTTTTACCTCAGAATGCAGCAAATGCTAAATCTCTCAACCCAACATCAGAGAAATCATTAGAATTCCTGTCCAAATGCAGACCTGGTGACACTTGAACTAGCTGACACAGGTCAGTTGTTCACACCCACTAGATCGTCCTCAGGAAAAAGATGTTTGTCCTGCTCCCGAAAAGGTTTACAAAGCCTTGGAAACCGTAGAGTAGCGCTTCTCAACCTGTGGGTCGAAACCACTTTGGGGGTCAAGTGACCCTTTCTTTCACAGGGGTCGCCTGATTCAACAGTAGCAAAATTACAGTTATGAAGTAGCAATGAAAATAATTTTATGGCTGGGGTCACCACAACATGAGGGACTATATGAAAGGGTCCCGACACGAGGCAGGTGAGAACCACTGCACTAGAGGGTTGCTACATGTTACAGCAGACTCTTTAGTAGAGGGTTTGGTTTGCGGGGAGCAGACCCAGAGCTTGGCATATCAATGTACTTGGGTGCTGTGACAAGAAATAGCAATGAGTCTGGCATTGAAGCATAGCATGATGCTCATTTGGATTCAGGCCCGAGTGTACAAACGAGACAATTACTTCTCCTCAAGAGAGGTAGCTCTGAGGGCAGGGGCAGGAGCACTTAGGCTTCAGGACTACACAACCGAAACTGGCATGAAAACACCATTTCCAACAGTTCCTCGTACACTGTAAAACATGCCTCCTTATATTCACTGCTTATATTTATCTTTAAACTAGATATCTTTTTCCCAGTCAACTCTAAGCTCTGCTTAAACAACTCTGACATGGCCCTTGTGGGAAGTGTGAAGTGGACAAAGCCTCTTGATAAAGCTGTATGACCCTTCCCAGGTCATAGCCTCTTCTGGGCTTTGGCTGCCATATGACTTCTCAGGTCCCTTTTGGCTCTGGCATGCTACCACACGAATCTCTTCTCTCCTGGATTAGATAATCTTGGTAAACAGAGTAAATCCTATTATGGAAGAGTTTTGTGATTTCACAATACAACATTTAACCAAGTACACAGAAATGGAGCGACAAGGGGAACCATTTTCTACTTGGCTACTTGACAAGCACAGGGTTTTTAAAGAAAGCTATTTTGAATAGCTGAGTATACACAAGATCACATTGGACAGCACTCGACACTGAACAATTCTATAGGAGCCAAACCTGAGTGTAATAAAGGAATCACCATAATATGTGATGAGGACAATAGGGCTAGTCCTGGATAAGGACAGCCGTCGAAGCAAGAGTGGTGCCATAGACCTAGGGCTGTATATATGGTGCTGCTCCCGAAAACTTAGAGCCTTTCTGCAGAATCAGCCATAAAGAAAACAGTGACTAGCCTTATACTGAACATTCTACTAAGAAAACCTTTAGTATGGAGCTAGAACTGAAAAGATCAGACACGTGGCTAGATCCACACACAGGAATTTCAGGGATTAACACACTTTAATGTCTGAATACAGGCCTCGGGGAAATATCAAGAAGCAGCACGAGCAAATGATTCAAACATGCCAAGTGACTCACAGCAGTAGAGTCAAAGCTTAGATTGGCAGTAGATCACTGAGTAGCTACTGAGTTACCTGTGGGCCTCATCCACTCAGGGAAAAGCCAGGACTTGGGGCTAGAAAGGATAATGGGGCAAGGTTAGCTCTATGAGTTGTAAAGGGCAACTTCAGGCTGAGAGGTCAATTCAAGACTGCAGGGCATCACTTCTGTATAATACATTGCTTGCTCCATAACTTTCCTTTGGTCACACGTAGTTGAGCACCACGGGCCTCCCTCTTGGCACTGATAATTTCTCCCCGATGACTTGGAACAATGACTGTGCGCCAAATTTGTCCAGGAAGATGAATTTTTTCCCTTTCAGGAAGGACATGTACTCTATATAAAAAAAACACCCTTCTTTTTTTTTAATGACCAAACTGCTATCTTTTCAGTACTTTGTCCTGTTTAGTGCCTAGCCTGCTGTTGGGTTGGAAAACTACATTTAAAACAGAACAAGCAATGATAAATAATAATTTCTTTCTACATTTTAACTATTAAATATTTTTGTGTGTGCAAGCTTCTCATGATAACCCTCCCAGGACCCCAGTATCTCCCAAATGCCTGAAAGGAAGCATAAGTGAGTGGATTTATATAGCTACACAAAAGCTGTTTCTTTTGTGTGTGTTTTACTAAATCCACGAATCAACGTGATTTGGATTTCAAAAAGGAATCATTTTAAAATACAGGCAGAACTGGTTGATTTCTAAATTTGCTATGAGTACATTTCTCAACAAGAATTTCATGCTGGACAAAATAATAATAAATTATCAAAGGTTCATGACGGAGGGGGGAGCAGGGAGGGAGGGGAAAAAATGAGGAGCTGATGCCAGGGGCTTAAGTGGAGAGCAAATGTTTTGAGAATGATGAGGGCAATGAATGTACAAATGTGCTTTACACAACTGATGTATGTATGGATTGTGATAGGAGTTGTATGAGCCCTAATAAAACAATTAAAAGAATTTCACGCTGAGAACGCGCTACGCTATTTGTATTCAAGAAGTCCTGTATTCAGGACAAAGCAGGGCAGCGTGATTAGTCTGCTCCGTCTGGTTTCAGGGATTAACCCAGAGTCAGTACTACCCCAAGCAAAGACAAAGTGAGGTGCAAGTGCACTCATTCTGATGCTATTAGAAAGATGCTCTGTGCCCTTGTCCCCAAGAGCCCTCTTCAGGCCTCATGAACTAGATCAAATTTAATCCTATGATCTTCAACTGGGAGTAAAGAGGCTGAACTAAGTCATCTGATTAGCTATTTTAATAAGAATGAAAGGAATCAAAACTATAATTCTAAACTCAATGGAGGAATCAGAATGCCTTAAAGTCTGATGTAGGAGGACAAGCTCTTGGGTGGCTATCCAGTGGCTATTATATCAGTGCCGCTGGGAAAAACAGTAAGATTTTTAGCTCATACAAGCAACAGACTCACCTCACAAGACTGTCAACGAAATCCACAACTTTATCTCTGAGCACTTCAAATTTATTTTGCTTCTTACTTGTTCTTCTTAATTCCTTCATTTCCAACAAGGACTGCAGACAAAAGAATGTACATTATATTGCAATTCTGAGGAAAAACCTCCCCTCCCATAGCGGAGAACCCTGCTAGGAGAGGCAGTTCAACGACTGTCCGTAAGAAAGGGTGTGCAGAGAAAACCAGACCAGGGTGAGCTCTGTTTGTTTTGACTTAAGGTCTGGAAAGAATCTTTCTTTCCAGATGTTTTACTTCAAACACAAACCAAGGGAATTTACAGGGAAGGTGAAAAAGGGTGGTTCGCTTTGGTACTGAGTTAAAAGGCGAGAGTGCTCAATATTCCAGCAATTCATTTGAACAAAGAACTTACAAGAAGGAAAAAGCACTGTGCTTTGTATCACACTAACCAAATCAATTCCGTTTTTGTCTCCCTGAGATGGAAATTTTACTCTATATTTATCATAACTTAGTATCACGGTACGCAGAGTTCTTTACTTTGCCAACCTACCTCATGAAGTTAGAACACCTGACAAAGACAGACTGGCGCAAGACCAGTTCTACAGTGAATAGGCGTGCACAAAAACCAAGCAGGTAACTCGCTAAAATGAATGAACTAAATACTTTTGAATCAGTTTGGTAAGAATGAACAAACATGCCAAATAAAGATTCCCTTTCTACACATCTCCATCTCCCCTCATTGCTGTTTAATTCTCTCTAGCTCATTTTGTCTGTGCCTTTCAGACCCGAACTGCTTCCCGCTGCGCTGGCCTGTGAGCTCTCCAGGCTGCATACATGCAGTGAGGATGGCACTGGGATACACAGGATGTGAAGTTTAGAAGCGAGTGACTAGCTTTGTTCCTGGTTGTGCTTTGAAATCACAATAGATACATTCGGGCACAGCGCATCAAGAACACACGTGAAAAAGGGAGCGCAACAGAGTATATTTGGACGGAAAAGAAAGCGGCCTGACCTTCTGAAGATGGTAGAGGTCTGTCTTCTGAAGTCCCTTTGGCTGTGACCCAGAGGCATCTTCTTCCTCTCTGGCTTCTGCTTGTTAATATAAAATCAATATACCGCAATTTGGGAAAATCCATTCAAGCCCAGAGAACAAACACATCTGCTAATCTAAGGAAAAGAAACGTTTCCTCTTTTTTCCAAATGTGGCAAGGTTCTATCAAGCACAATGATTTAGTTCTTCTAGAAGTAGAAGGTCAATAAACATTATATAATTCATGCTGTAGTGAGGGCGTCAAATCACCTACTGAATCTACCACCATGAATAAAAAACAAAGGTTCCCAAACTAGTAAAACAGAATAACTTTTTTGTGGTTATAAACAGCCAAAGAAAACTAAACTAAAATTGTGTTATTTCCATTATACCAACATTATAATACACCCCAGATCTAGAGTGGCCTAGATCATGCAATTCACAAACTATTTTTGAAATAAACTTTGAATCTGAAAAGGGTGCTATTACGTTTTGGCATAAGCCACTGAAACATGAACTGTAACATGGCTCTTTGGCAAAGGGAACAGAAAATCACAGCAAGTAAAATGGGTAGCTAGCTATACTTCTTCTGAGAGCACGAGACTCTCATGTTCTCTTCCTAGTGCAGAGCAGGTTTTAGGAACTTCATGTTCAACTGGCTTGTTTTGTCTAACTCTAAAGTAGTGCGATTCAGCTGGAAAACCTGCATCATTCTGAAAAAATCATTCTTTTTGTCATCAATAATTCCTGTTTAAGAAAGATTTAATTTAGGATTAAAATATCTAATAAATACTTCTCGCTTCACTAAACATGTAGCAGAACCTTAAAAATAAGTTAGTAAGTCTAATTTGATACTACCAAGTCTAATTTGATTCTACCAACTGTAATTTTAAGTCTATTCTCTAAGATGAAGGAACCAGAGATGGCATATAGCCAAATACTTCTACTTGTTCAAGGTGGGAAGATGTTTCCTTTCACTTTCTTATTAGCCACCACCTTCTACTCATTTGCTGTACTGTGGTGATTTCTGGGTTGCTGTAAGGCTAGAAGGTATGCCACTGCTTTTTCAACTCATCATGGACAGGTTTCAATGGGGTCTCCAGACTAAGAAAAAAGACTCGGGGTTTTACATCCAAAAACCAGCCACTGACAGACAACCTTACAGTTCATAACAGTACACTGTCCAACTCGCTGCTTTGGACATGAGGAGGGATCAGTTTGACAGGGCATCATCTCTGGTGAGGGAATGCCAGCAGAGAGGATGAAGGAGACCTCTGTTGAGATGGATTTGCAGAACAGCTGCAAAAATAGGCTCAGACTTGCCAGCAACCAAGAGGCGAATGCAGGGTAGGCAATGTTTCATCCTGTTGCGCATAGGTTGCCAACAGTGAGAGCTGATTCAATGGCATTTATCTAACTAGCTATCATTAGCAATGTATCATTTTAAACACATATTTATTCAAGATAATGATTTTAGCTCAATTTATGAAATTCTTTATTCTTTAGGCTTTTAATCATCTTAATCTGACTTCCCCATTTCTAAATGCTATATTCCCTTACTTGGTGGTGGCCCATGCATCACAGAATTTGTTCAGTAGGCTGTTTCATGAGTTCTAATTTAAATTACTATAGTGTCTATGGTTTCTTTTTGTACAAAAATTTTTGGAGCCTCATTTTGTAAAAGACTGAATTTTATCTACTAGTCCTTTAAGTCATTTTACTCCATGTCATGGATTGTATCCCCCCAAAATTATGTGTCAACTTGGCTGGGTTATGGGTCGCAGTGGTTTGGCAGTTACGTGATGGCAGCTATGCAAAATTGTCACTAGGTGGGGATCCCCCATGATGTGATAAACCAATAAGAGGATTAAGGGTGGAAAGCAATACCCTTAATCCCACCATAGCCCTGCTCCAATGTAAGGGAAGTTTCCCTGGGGGTGGCCGATAACTCTGGTCTTAAAAGAGATAAAAGGAGAGAGCGAGAGAAGTGAGCAGAGGGAGCGATCCACCACCACCACCACCAACAAAGAGCCGCGAGTGGAGCGCACCCTTTGAGGGCAGGTTTCCTTTGCTAGGAACCTCCTAGAATTCAAGGAAGATTGATGCCAAGACACAGGGAGAGCTCCTATGAGGCTGACATAGGACCTTTCCCAGAGCCCCCAGAGTAAGACTGTTCCTTGAACTGGCCCTCTGAATTTAGACTTCCAACCTCCCAGACTGTAAGAAAATAAATTTGTTTGCTAAAGTCATTCATTCATAGTATTTTTGTTAGAGAAGCAATATATAACTAAGACACCTATTTATGCTCTTAAGGGTGGCCTCCTGCTGGTTCAGTGACCAATTAGAGAAGATGGAAATTGTGAATCAGTTAGAAAAAAATAAAGGGCAGAGGGAGAGTGGGTTGGAAAGAGGAAACCGATTATAAGGAACTATATGTGACCTCCTCCCTGGGGGACAGACAACAGAAAAGTGGGTGAAGGGAGATGTAGGACAGGGCAAGATATGACAAAATAATAATTTATAAATTATCAAGGGCTCATGAGGGAGGGGGGAGCGGGGAGGGAGGGGGAAAATGAGGACCCAATGCCGAGGGCTTAAGTGGAGGACAAATGTTTTGAGAATTATGAGGGCCATGAATGTACAAATGTGCTTTACACAATTGATGTATGTATGGATTGTGATAAGAGTTGTATGAGCCTCTAATAAAACGATTTAAAAAAAAACACTGATATGGTGGTTAAGAGAAGTGGGCACTCACTAATCCAGGTGCTACCACTAGGTAGCTGTGAGACCTCAATCAAGTTACTTCTTCCTTGGCTTCAGTTTTTGCCCGAAGCTGGAATCTAACCTCTATATTTTCATGATATGAAAAGAAGTTTAACTCATGCTGCAGCAGGCAAAAGAGCAATGCCAAGTATAGCCCTTTGGTCCCTCAGTCGGCCTGCTCATGCAACTCAGTCAGGCAAACTATCTCTTTCCTCATCCACTGACTGAATTCAGCAGATCCTTAGCATTGCAGTCATGTAAAGACAGGGGAGGGATTTTAGCAAAAGTCTTTCTTTTTTTTAAAACCATTTTATTGGGAGCAATAGTATTTTCTTAAATCTAAAGGATCACTTGCCAAACAAGAAAGGACTAACAGACACGTTGCAGATATTTTTTACCATGTCACGTCCAATTGATGTGCTCATACACCAAACTGCCTCTTCCCTCAGATGCTAGTCCATTTTTTTTAAATAGTGGAAAAGTAATAGGTACATAGCATATGTTTTTGTTCTACCAAAAAATACTAGACTCTGGTACTAGAGCAAGACGAGAACCCATGAAAAGTCAATGAGCACTATCAACCCAGAGTGCACCAATCAACAAAGACCTAAGCAGTAGGGAACATAGCTGCATACATATAGTTAGCCCCCCCACCCCACCCCCACCCAGCATTCAGCAGATACAATGCTCATGTGGAGGTCATATTCAAGAAAGGAAACAACAGCCCTCCAGCCCTGATGAGGGCCAGGCTGCTGCAGATCATTTATGACAGAAAGATTCAAGCTTTTGTAAACCCGATTAGAGAAAGCCTCGTGCATATTTTGGTAATCAGCATACCAATGAGCCTCAATGCTGTGAAAGCAGCTCACAGCTATTAATTTTTCAGGCTTACAAATGATTTATGCAGTCTTTCTGAAATCTACAAAGAACTTGATGAAATGCTTAAGGAAAAAAACAGCACAACATCTAAAAGGAGTCCTTAATTATAAAGCCCTGCTACATGCTTCAATCTCTATTTTTTTAGGTAAGTCTTCCAAACTGCTCATCTGGAAAAATATTTTTCCCCCAGTCGATTTAAGGCTCTTCGTTGTTTAAACCAAATTTGGAAGAGAAACATTGGACTATTTGTGATTGCCAAGATGTGATACAGAGGCACGGCACACAGACTGCTCGTGAACTACTTTATCTCTTCATCTCGCAGCATGTAGGACAGCGGGGTTTCCACGTCGCGTTAGCTAAGCGACTACCACAACGAGTAGAAATGGCAGGATAGTTTACTCTCACCATCAAGGCTCTGAAACTGGGCCAGGAAATCCTCTATTCTCTGTGCTGTGCTGCCAAACTGTTTTCCAGAAGAGGACTTAAAAACAGTGAAACACTTCTCAAGTATGATCACCAGCTCATCCTTTGCCAACATCCTAGAACAAAATCAATGACAGGAGATGTAAAATAACTAGAAAGTTAGCAGACTTAAAAAAACATTTTTTACATGGTCAGTCAGTACCTGTGCCATTCAGAATCTTCAGAAAACTCTCCTGATAAAACTCAGCCTAGAAAACTCACAATGATCTAGGGTCATGGCCTGACTCTGACACTCATTCTTTGTTTGAAATAAAGAATATGTAAATTAACAGTTCTGATTCTATGTTCCCTTGTCTGGAAATGTTAGGTGGAGACTTAAGGTGCCTTTGAAGAATCTAGCAACACTGCTTACCACATAGCACACATTTGTTAGTTTTCCTCCCTTTGGAACAAAGTGTAAAAAATACTAAGCCCAAACCAAACTCAATGCCTCCAAGTTGATTCCAACTCAAAGCGACCCTATCGGAGGAGCACAGCAAGGCTGTAAATCTTGACAGGAATGGAAAGACTCATTGTCTCCCTCAGAGGGGTTGGTGTTCTCGACTGCTGACTTTGCAATTAGTAGCCCGACACATGACAACAGGAGGCAAGACATTCCTGCTCAGCGTAAGCTTATGTGAAAGGAGACCAAAATTCTAGGCATCACAAACATTTCTCCAGTTATTACAGTTTTCACTATGCTTTACCTCGCATCTGGGCTTTATAATTAACAGTAAACAAGATAAAAGGTGCCATGGTAGCATAGTGGGTTACACGTTAGGCTGCTAACCTCAAGGTCAGCAGTTCAAAAACCAACAATTACTCTGAGGGAGAAAGATGAGGTTTTCTGTTCCCATAAAGATTTCCAGTCTTAGACACCCACAGGGGCAGTTGTACTCTGTCCTGTAGAGTGAGGATTGACTCAGCAGTGAGTCTGGTTTTTTGAGAAACAAGGTAAGCAGCTCCTCTGCTTGCTGTACCTCACAGGCAGAGTGGGTGAGAAACTCATTCAAGGTGGCGGAGCGAATTGTTAGCAATGGAGAGAGAACATAGATTGTCTGGAATTAGGATTCTGTTCCCAGAGCCATGACTTACAGCATCTCTCTGCTAACATCATGCTCAGTAACAGAATCAAATAGAATCAGGCCAATGTTAATAGTTATTATGGAACATGATACAGATAGAGAAATTATTTTCCCAAACGGTTGTCAATCATTAAGATTACAACAATGAAAAGTACAACTGTTATGTTTTCCCCCCATCATAACAGGTTCGTTAAAAATACTAATATTGCTAAACTGAAAAAAAGGGATAGGAAGCAAGCAGACTATCATTACTGAGAAGTTAAGCTGGTTACTTCAACACAAATTTTAATGCAAACAAGAGAAATGGATACATTCAATAAACACAGAAACTGACAGAGGTGGGCAAAAATAAAAACTTTCCTGGTTTTAAGAAAAAATCTAAAATCTTCTCTCCCTTCTGCAACAATGAAATAATCACCCCAAGTGAAATCAACCTGTGAATGTAAGCGTCAAAGAAAAACAGGCAAAGACATTTGAATTCTTGATCACATTTGAGATGATTTAGCCTTTCTAGCGATAATCTCTTGCCTAGAAGGAGTTAAACTGTGTATGAAAGGTTAAGTTAACTCTTGAGGTTTGCATTTGAGCACGGCTCCCCCTAACCTCTGGCCTTTCCAAGCAGACAAGGCCAACCTGTGGAGTGAACTGGCTCGCCTGGGAGGGTAAAGAGGCTGCGGTCCTGCTGGCGGGAGGCCTAACTCACATCAGGGGCACACTGAAGATTAGCTGCCCAGACTGCGCTGATACCTCAAAGCCATTTTGAACTCAAAATAAGAGATCCAACCCATTTCCTATGTATGTGACTAACGAGGAAGGTCAGGCCTGATTATTATCCATTTTCAGGTGCCAGAAAAAAGTGGTATTATATAACTGTAAAATCAAACTTTAATAATCATAACTAAACAAATTACTGTGCTAAAATTTGCCATTTCAACCATTTTTCATTTTATATTTCAGTGGCATTAAGTAAAAATTGCAACAAAAACCTGGAAAAACAAAAAGTGCTGGTTCTGGAACGCTATACATATAATTTCGTACACGTTTGTGCTGGGGAAAAATCTAGATGTTAAAAACTGCTAGCATTTCAAAGTCATGTAACCAAGAAGTAATATCAGATGAGTGCTCTTACTTTTTCTTGTCAATTACTATATGTTTAATAGTCTTATTGGCATATAATTCCCATATCGTACAATAGCTCAATCACATTAAAAAGAGTTGTACAATCATCACCACATCAATTTCAGAATGTGTTCCTCTTTCTTGTGCTCATTGTTGTTAGCTCCCCACTTCTCCACCAACCTGCCCTGCCATGCATGCCGCTAGGAAAATTATTAATCCAGTTACTGTATTTACAGATTTACCTATCGTGGATGCCAGTTACAGAAAAACATACAAAACAAAAAACTTCAACAGCAACGACAAAATGAAACAGAGAAAAAATCCTTAATTGAAAAGACAGTAGAAAATATTAAAAGCAGGAACAAATTTGAAATGGGTCAAAAGAATGATCACAAATCATAAGGTGTCGTATTTTAACCTAACTACCTCTGCCACAAGCTACTTGACAATGCACTCTGTCTGACAGCAAGGCTGCCCGTCCCTACTAGAACAGCTCCAGCCAGTGCTTCGGAGAATCCAAACATGGCCGGACAGAAGTACCTGAAAGCAAGTGGAAACTGAAACATTTAATCCGTCCCCCAGACAGTTGGTTCTATACGGTTTCTGAGATAGGAAACTGAGGATGGCACAGGACTGGACACGGGGCTGCAACGAGTGCAAACTGACTGAACGGTACCCGCGACAACCGATCAGCATTTTCCTTCATTCAAGAAATATTTACCAAGGGCCGAATACATCATCAGACACTGACATCTGGAACTTGGTGGGGAGGGGTGGGAGAAGGCACAGCTACAGGGCACTAGCACTCCACCTGCATAACACACATATGTTACAAAGAGACAAACCTTATGGGAAAGAAACTGAGCCGGGTAAGGGGGAGGGGAAGGGGATAGACAAGTGGGTTTCAATTTCTAATAGGCTTTGTTGGGAAGTGACTATCCCATCATATATGCAAAGAAGATAGGAGAGCTGGCTGGGAGAAGAACTTTTCCTGGCAGAGAAAACAATGGGGGCACAGTCCCGTTCGAATGTGTGCAGCTTATAGTCAAGAAAGGACAAGGTCAAGATGTGCAAAGCAGAGTTCAGATCATATAGACTGTGGCTCTGACTCTGAGACAAGCGGGGCAGCAGAGAGGGGTGGGGTGGGTGGAGTGAGCTTAGGAAGGGTTTTAATCAAAAGAGAAGCATTGTGTGACATGCTTCAATAGAAATGCTCTGAGTACTATTTTAATTTTAAGAAAGCGCTGTAGTGGGCACACGTGGGAGCAGGGAAACCTGCTAGAAGACATTTTAGTAGCCCCAGCGAGAGATCGATGAGGGCAGCTTGGACAATGGCAGCGAGAGTGAAGCACAGTGGGAAGAAGTCTGATTCTGGATATGTTATGATGACAGAGCTCATGTTTTTGGCAGGATGGAGATGCCAAAAGGAAGACCATAGGTTCGGGAGTATAGGAGAGGAGGCTCAGCTTTGGACGTGCTAACTCTGAGAGTCTAGCAGATATTCAAGAACGTGTTAGACAGACAGGCAGCTACAGCAGTCTAGTGTCAGGAGAGAAAGAAGAAAAACAAAACCCAAAACTAACCTCAATGCCATCAAGCCAATTCCAGCTCATGTCGACCCTACAGGGTAGAACTGCCCCTGTGGATTTCTGAGACTTTT